TTTACTTAAAGCTCACAATATCCAAAATTTACAGAAATGATTCAATTACGCTGATAATAAAACTGATGCAGAAAAAATTAAAAAATTACAATAATACCAATAAGTTATGCCAAAAAAAACCACAGCAAACCACATAATTTCTTAATTTATTATAGGTGATTATCTTTGTCAGTTGTTTTATTAAAGAAATTCGTAAGTATTGTGACAATATCGCAATACATGTCCCTTACTATATATTGAGTAACTAATACTTAACAATAATATTTAATTTCATTATGAATTTACAATAAAGCTTAAGTAGTGACATTCGCATAATAACATATAATATAATATAATTAATATACATAAGTATTAGGTTTAAGTTCAAATTCATAAAATGCCATTGCCGTGTATATTATAAATAAAATAAATTATCACATATACACATAAATATTTAATTTTCAAATCATGCTTATCAAAATATTATATAAAGATTGTATATAAATAAAATTTATTAAATTTAAAAAATAAATTTATATTAAATGTAATTAAAAAAATTCTAATTAATTCGATTAAGAACAATTTATAACTTTTTTTGAATAAATTATATGCTATTCAATAAAATAAAAAAATAAAATTTATTAAATTTAAAAAATAAATTTATATTAAATGTAATTAAAAAAATTCTAATTAATTCGATTAAGAACAATTTATAACTTTTTTTGAATAAATTATATGCTATTCAAGTTTTAAAATGGTTAAAATCAATTAGTCAAAGTTAATGCCGTTTAAATCAGCAGGTGAACAGTTTGGCAGTAAAAATTTTAATATTTATTGTTGTTATTTAATTTTTTTATTGCTTTAGCGTGGGAGCTGACAACGTCAAATAAAGACCCAGCTGTAAAATATGGAAGCATTTTCATAAATAAATATGTACATGTAGAATAATTATATAATTAGCAGAGGAAACGTTTTTTTAATGATTCTTCTTCTTCTTTTTCTTGAGTTAGTACTATTAAGCACTTTTACTCTATAATGGCTAGGGGGCTTATCTCTATCCCACACTAGGCTTTAACTAGGCTAAAAAAAATCATATAATTTATTTGTCTTTTAGTTGATGACGGACCTTAAATCAGCATATCTTCCTGAGAGTCCAAAAGTGGACTTGAGGATTGTTAGGGCGGGGTTAATTAGCATATCAACTTTAGTGAATAATTTTAGAACTTTGTCTCTGATATATTTTTTCATTGAGTCAATCCTAAGATGTCTATGTATGTCTGTTGATCTAATATACCATGGAATCCTAAATAGTTTTCTTAAAGCCAGGTTTTGAGCTATCTGTAATTGCTTTAAGGTAGTATTTGAGGCTTTGCTATATGTAACACATCCGTACAGTAGTGCAGGTCTAATTACTTGCGTATAAAGTAACTTTCTGTTTTTAAAGTTGAAGTGATAATTATTAAATAGCGGCTTTAATAAATGTAGAATCTTATAGTAGCTATTTCGTTTGTATTTCAAATGTTTAAGCCAATTGAACCGTTTGTCAAAAGAATAATTATTTTTAATTCTATATATATATGCAACAAAACATTTTAATTTTTTTAAATATTAGGCGCTTTAAAAATCGAAAGAAGGAATTATCGCTCTTTCCACATTTTCCTTCGCATCATTTAATTCGCTTAATCTGAACATTAAGTTTAAACAATCCGATTTTTTACAAAAATCCGATAGTTGAAATTAATTACATTAATAGAATTGTATAGCAATATTGTGAATATTTCATGAACTGAAAAAAAATTCTTACATCATTTGACATTTTCTCACTTAAACACAAAAAACAAAACTAAAACTACAATTTGCTGTGTGAACGAGCTTTTATCATTTCGAACCGAAAGAGCTCAAGCTACAACAATAAAAAACGCTTGTGCTGTATAAAAACGGTCTTCAGAACAAAATCATTATTTAATAATTATTTTAATCATTTTCAGTAATTAATCTGAAAAGCACGTTTGTTATTCTAATTAAATATTTATTAATATTTTATTAATAAATAATAATAAACGACATGTCGTTTATTATTATGTCGTTTAAGTATGTATTATATTATTATTATTACTTGTGTGTACATTTGTGTAATAAATAAATTATTTAGTGCTATTATAAATAAGTTTGTTTTAATTTTTATTTATATATAAATTTAAATAGAATTTATTTATATAGTATTTGTATGAATTGTATACACATTTTATATAGATGTCACATTTCGCTTAAATTCTTTTACTCTTGCGTATGGTTAAAACCTTTTACAACACTATTTTCGTGGTCTTGTCATATTGGCGCTTCTAATTTCTTGTATTCATTTTTATTATTTGTCGAGTTCCATCCCCGGACGTAAAAAAGATTTAATAATTTATAAGAAAACATATGTTTAAGTTTATAAATATTAATTAATATAATAAGAAATCGTCAAAAAGTTCATCGTTTATATAAATTAATATTATAGATCTACGAAAATATTGTGTTGTAAAAAAGAAAAGCAATAACGTAACAAAAAGTGTAGTACGAAGTGAAGAAGTTCAAAATCAATAAATTTGCCAGACAACAAAAATTAATATCAATGAAAAACATAAAAACGGCTTTTATATAAATTTTCATATATTTTGAAAGTATATGTAAACATTGTTTTAATTTATATTTAAAGGTGAGTGTTACGAAAATTATATATCAAAATTGCAAAATTCTTATGTAGTTGGAAAAAAATTATAAACAAAAATAGTTTGTTGTATAACTTTATATATTTTCAATACTAAATTTTATTAAATAAAAAATATAATATAATTAAAAAACTAGACTGCACTATTTTTAATGTTATATTAGAGTTTCTTTGGTAATGTGTCTATAATTGACCGATGGAATGCAAATGTCATCGTGTCAATGGTTAAATCCACCATTTCTCTCAGTACAATTTCTTTTAATAGTTTTCGGAGTGCAGACTTTTATTTAGCAGCGTAAAAAATGTTATAATTGAATAATTACTTATTATTTATTTATTTAATAGTTTTCATTGGATGTGCTAAATAATGCTGCATTATGTATTTATATTTGCATGTTGATATGTACACATGTGTATTATTATATTCAATTAATTATGTATAACCATCATGAACATTAATTTATATTACTTATATTTTCTAATAGTAGTAATTGTAATAAATAAGAATATCTATACTACACATTGCTTTCGTATGTAACAATATAGTGTTTGTTAGTACATTAACTACCGGTAATTACTTTTCTAAGAATATAGCAAATCTATTGAACTATTTACTGCTCTTTATTTATATTGTAGCAATTGGAATAGTATTTTAAAGAGTATAAACGGTTATTTATGAGTTTTTATCAATTACATTATATATAAATTATTTTATTATTCAGACACGGCACTTCTTTAATCAGGTTTCAGGGTTATTACACAGGAATTTAACCCTTACGTTATTGTGTCGCAATTCTACATTGGTTCCGAAGAATTGCTTTATATGATACATCATACTATGTCGTTGATAACATTTTTTCCTTTATTTAGCCAATCGAACAAAAGTAAAATGTAGTACTTTTTTAAAAAAAAATTTTTATTACTTACACACAGTAAGTATATTTATATAGATAATATTTAATGAAGATTCTGAAAAATAGTTTATTAGTTTATTAAATTATATTTAATTCGATTAGGGAAAGTATTAAATATCACTGACTACTGTGGTGTTATAATAATGATATTCACGACTTCTCTGAAAATCGAACATAATAAAATTATTCAATATATAGAAATATCTCCTCTTATTCCTAAGGTTTGGCTCTTCAATAACTATTTTAGCTTATTTGTTTTACAATATTTCATTATAAAATATAGTGATATATATTCTAGTTACGCATAATTATAATTAGACTATGATATAATTCTATTTGTCACTATATAAAGTAATTAGGACATACATCCAAATAATTTGGATTTGTTCTGAACGTTCTCTATCGTGCTCTACATTATTTTTCAATCTATATAATATGTATACAATCATACAAATACAGAAAAAGTGATCAATAACGTAGAAACCTTTCTTTTACACTTCTTAGAAAGTTCATAAAACCCTCCAAGTGAGCATGCAGCCTGATGAGATGAACTCTAAAACTTGCAGCTGCAAATATTTCCACACATTTACATTATTAATAATAAAAAGTGCAACTGTTGAAATTTCTACTGGAATGGAATGAATGCACATTCCGGTCGGTCTGTTAACTGTATGTTAGGTAGTAAACAAACTCCACAATTTCCAATTGCACTTTAGGGTGACTTTATATGCTATCTTCGACACATACACACATACGCATATATATGGTATATACAGTTCATAATGCATTTTTATGCATTTATTTTATACTGACGAGTTCTTCCAAGATCAAAAACCTTAAATTGCAGTTGCTGCAACTCGATTTGTATCTTTAAGGTCTTCATCTCCTTTATTTTCGCGCCTATTAAATGTGTTGAAAAATATTCATTCTATCAAAACAATGAATTAATTTTTTTTCATGATCTTTATAATTCTGTTTTATTGTAGTTATTTGCATAATTTTGCTTAAGATAAATAATATTTTTACTTGTTTTGTTTTGCAGTTTTGCAGTTGTTTCGCTGTTTCGCTGTTTGTGACTCCAGCAAAGCTACAAATCTGCAATAATGCAACATCATACACATGCACCACGTCCTGCATTGCACATGCGTGGTCATCATATGCCGCCGATGCATGCAACTGCTGGTACTGTTGGTAACAATGCGCCGGCAGCACGTATGACAGCTATGAATATTTTGCCACCACGGCCACAAGCTCAGTCCCAAACGATACAATCAACCATTGCACCAATACGACAAAATCTAATAAAAACACAAACAGTTCCACCGCAACACCAACAGAAACCGCCAGCGCTACAACAGCAGCATCACCTCCATAACAGCATAAAAGCACCAACTGCAGCTCAAAGCATGATGCCACCTAATCTTAGAGAGCATCATAATCGGTAAGCGAGCGCATTTAAGACAATCATTTACAATTGGATTTGTCCAATTGTCCTCCAAGCGAAGCAGTTAACTTTGTAGGTTTCATGCTACAATAGTATTTCCCATAATTATGCAACTTTTAGTTTTTATCCTTTTTGTTTCATATTGACAATTGGTGTGAGACTCGAGACCAAACTCATAAATTAAAATTATATTTCATTACATATTCGCTTTTCTAGTTTTTTAATTTTATTTATTTAATTTTTTTCTATACCTAAAACAGCATGACTTCCGTTTAGGAACGAGTTCTAGCAATTGCCTATAATAGTGTATCCTTGCTTGTATGATCGGTGTGTGATGTATATGTGCATATAACTTTTTCATGTGTTGCCTTTTCTTACAGCTCTCCGAAGGGGATATTTGCTTTAGAGTTTGTCCAGAGGTTCGTCCCTTTTATTTTTTGTTGTTTTTTTTTTGTTCATTTAACATTATTCCTGTTTATGCAAATAGCTTGAATCATATGTTCGCCAGTGTCTCGTTGTCCTTTGATTAAGCACAGTTGGTTTTTGATACTTTACTCGCGTTCACGTGTGAGAAATAGTCAAGATATAAATAAAATAAATGCAATAATACATATATTCAAATTAAATAAGTTAATTACGAATATAAAAATTAACGAAATCGGTTAACTCAAGTAAATCGGATAGTCTAAACAAGCCTATTTGGCTGTGCAAGAAATGTTTGAACACGTAAAATATCGTTCCTTTCAGTTATGAAAGTGATTTAAAGAAAAAAAATAATTTTTGTGCTAAATGTTGTTTAATTTTTAATTAGTCTTACTTCTATAAAAATAACATATTAAACATAACTTAATATATATTTATTTAAATCTATATATATATAGTATTTTAAGTGCTGTGCATATGAAAATTATTTTAAAGCTATGACTACTTATAAACTGAAGGAATTCAAAGACATTTTGCAACTCACAGATACTCCAGTAAACATATATTTCCACAAAACATATAATATAGATCTGAAAAATTCACATTAGTGAGTGGAGAATTTACATTGCGATCTAGAGATCTATTGTGTCCTAACATGCGATAGACGTTTATTAAGTAAAATAAACTAAGCACAAAAAATTTATAAAATAATTAAAATTTATTTTAGACGTCTTAAAAGCATAATTATTAAGTTAATAACAGCAATTTCTAAATATTAAACATTTTAAATAATTTATTATAAATAATTATGATCACAATGCAGGATCACTCACACGATCGATTTGTTGTAAATATTAATCAATTTAAATTAAAAAAACTTGTTATAAAAGTGAATTGGTATAAAAGCGTTATATTACCATTAGATGTGAGATATTAAAATATATCTGCCACCCATAAAAATTTTACAAAAATATAATTCTCATAATATTTTATAACTTTGTCAAGTTATTGTTATTATCGTAATTATGGTCCTTATTATATTCTATCACTCTTAGTCATAGCAATAAAAGCCTGTGTAGATGAAGATCATTGTAGATTGCAAAACTCACATGACTCAAATTGTAAAAAATGCATACCAGTCAGCTACTTGAACTAAAGCGTAAAGCGAAACCAACTCAGTAGTACAGTATCAGTGTTGACCGACCACTGTATATTAGAAAGGCATCAATAAGACAGGAACTAATGTCTATCGACTTTTGACGAGACCGGAGATCTGAGGACGAAGAGAAAGAGGTTATATGACTTTTATAGAACTGTCACTCTTTAAAATTAGGGATATAGTCAAGGTTGTAGACTTGTTAGGTTGAATGCCTTATACTTAAACGGGGTAATCGC